GCATGTTTCTTTTAATAAATGTATTTGAGATCTCCTGATTCCTGCCTGTGTTCTGGGCATGCATCAAAACTGATTGACCCACTAAAGGTCTTTTTAGAAGAGCCGTTTAAACAAAAGACACTTTGTTGTCAAAGTATATCACATTGTTAGTTATTTTTAAAGAAAATTAGTATGATAATTCCTACGTGGAAGAGGCAGATTTTGGCATTTCTCAGTGGTGCACTGAAAGATTTGCCCTCTTTCATTGGTTGAATACTGTTGAAGTGGAGCACTGATGAGCAAACTGAGGAAACAAAACAGAACAAATATGTTACAGTGGCCACTGCTGAGTAAAGGCCCATTACTTTTTTTCCTATTGAAATATATTTCTGATCTTGCTGAAACGTACATTAATCAAATACAAGTTGAAAGAAAAAAATAAACAGAAGATGCAGAATTATTGCAGTTGTTAATTAATTTTCAACACAATAAGATAATCTGACTCACTCTGCTTCTCGCTGCACCACCTGGTAGCCAAAACCTGCAGCAGAATTGTTGAGGGATTTCCAAGCCACAGGATCAATGTTAAAACAAAGAGCAGCTTTAAACACAGAGGAACAAGACAGAAAAAGAAATCACATTATTGATTTCATTTTTGCCAACATGTGATCCCAGTGAAAAAAWTTTTGATCTGCCAAAGTTTGTTTGCAGTTTAAATTTAGATGTGCCTCACTATTTTTTTATAGTAACACACGCTACAGATAAACCAGTTATTCAGCCCCATGTGCAATGTAAAATAAACTGCTACAATTGTAGATTGTGTTTTCTGCTTGTTAAACTTCAATAYATTTAAGCATTTCTTGTTCAAATTGATGAAAGACAAAAGCTTTCCTAATGTAAAACAAAGCACACACATAGCAGTAACCTTTAGGTCAATGACACCACATCTGCATAGAATTTCAGTTTTTTTGTACTCTTGAATGACATTTGCATTTTTTAAAGGTTTTCGTAATTTCCCKTCTATTGTCTACTCACTGTTCTGTCACCACCACAAAACAATGAGACACCGTCACACCCTCTCTTGCCAAAAAAAAGGAGAAATAATTCACGAATCATCATAACTCATCACTCGGCATCCTCCCTTCATGCAGACGTTACCAAAGCGTAAAACAACAAGGTTAAGAAGCTGTGTCTCCTAAGCTGTGTGTTTTACCTTGTGCATTTTAATGTATCTTTCATCTGTCATCTAAATAATGATAATTTTAGGTTATTTATGAGGCTAGTCCAAGGAACACTGTTSTGTGTTTCTAATACGTTGAATGTCAGTAAGTCTGTGAAAAAGTACCCTACTGATGTCTTCTATTTCTGTATTTTTTTGGTCACACTTACATGTTTTAGATAATGAGCCCAGACCCAAAATTTGTTGAGTCAGCAATAATAATAATAATAATAATAATAATAATAATCTTTTATCGACACTCAAAGATGCTTAAAAATTCTTCATGCGTCATTCATACATACTTGTGGTGGTAAAATACAGTGTAACCACAGACAGGGCTACCAGAAACCAGCAGGTAAGTGTCTTGCATGGACACAACAACTAAGGCAGATGGAGGGTCAAACCAGCAACCCACTGGTTACAGGACGACTCCCCTAACCACATTGTTACAGCCACCAAATACCAGTACCATCTGTGGTGACAAAAAGAAAGGAGTCATAACAAGGTGAGAGTCAGACAAGAGACAACTAATATTTTTTCTTCTTTGCATGAATGTGTCTCACTATATACTTTAGCCATGGTTTGTATCAGAAAAACTATCTTAACATTAAGGAAATACAATTTTATCCATAAATACTTGCCCAGCATAATATCTGATTATTCATAATAATGAGCTCCTAATCTCATRACTAAGAGATAAGATGTCATAACCCCMCTAACTCCCCTGCAAATTTTGCCCATGTGTTTATGTATAAGGGGAAGCCTTATGCATGACAGCGGTATAGTATGTCACAAGGTTGATTCACATGACTGTTTTAAATCACTGTAGCCATAAAGACACAGCCTATTGAAACTGTTATTACAAATGTTTTCAGAAGTAGAGACCTCAAACTATWCATATTTTTATATTGTGTCGATAGGCCAAGTAAAACTGGAGTTATGATAAATAGTACACCACATTTGTTTCTGAAAAGGATCGTCCTATTTAAAGCACCTTGTAGCTGCAGGCAGCAGGAAACAAAAAAGACAACAATCAGCCATCAGTTTCATCTGTCTCTTGACACACACACACACACACACACACACACACACACACACA